GCCAGGCACCATTAGCTTTCTTCACCACATTTGCTTGTGCACCCATAAAATGATCCTTTTAATCCATGCCCATTTTGGGGACCATGCCCAGCCAGGCATTTTCAGCTCTGAAGGCAAGAACTTGACTTGATGGGCAGAGGGGTAAAAGACAAGACTTCAGTTAGGTAACTCTGGTAGTGGAAGCATAGTCCATATTTGTACAATGAATCACTATCAGAGTCAAAAAGAAAAAGGTATATTTTAAGAAACTTCGCAGTGAAAGAAAAATACACTCAGACAAAAGAAATTTTGTCTGTGGTTGCCATAAATACCAACCACAAGACTTTCTTTATCCCTTTTGAAACTTTATGTGTATTTCTATACATCTTTATCATTTAAATGATTCCACATGAATATTGTCATGTATCTACTTAGTCATATATTTTCACTTACAATAACAAAAAGCATAATAACACAACATATGAGTTGAAAACAGTTCAAGGAAAAACAGAATTATAAGAATTAAAAATGTTCATGAATATTTTGAAGCCTCTTCGTATATGGAGGTATTTTGAAATTAAAGGAGAGGCTGGAGAAGAATTTTGTCACTCAACTGGCAAGATCCTTCATGTAGTCATGTCAAAACTTTCAGATAATAAATGAATTAGCAATCACTGAGCCGGCCCTACACCTCACTACAGCTTACAATATTTCTAAACACACTCTAATTTCACCTCGGTTTTGTTCTCTTTTTTACCGATCAATATGGCATCCACTAGATCAAAAGTCCCACTACACAAAGCAAGTTACCCAGATACCATCTTCTCCATTTTGGAAGCATATGGGCATAAAGTTCGGTGAGGAAGATGGGAATCTGAATCAAGAAGTGACGGTCTAGAAATCATAAAGATGCCACCACACTGCTTCTTGGAGCCTCTCAGTGGAGGGATGAAGCCATGATCTGCTACAAAATGGTAGTTGTTTACACCTAAGAGAAACAATGAGCCACACTGCAGTAGCATTTCCATGCAGATTTTTAAAAAGGACTGTAAATTAAGGCTGAGGCAGTTCTATAGTCTCTTCATTTTAGTGAAATGAAGTAAAAGAATGTTGATCTTTTTTTTTTTGCATTGACGAGCTCAGTTGTAGATCCAGTTCTCTTATAGCAGCCAGGTGCCTAGAACTGTAAGAAACTAGACAGAACTTACTTGACAGAATTTGTAACATTCAGAAAATAATCACTATCTCCACCCCCCACCCTCCAATATTAGGTATACACACACACACACACACACACACACCCACTTATACGTATATAGGTAGCGCTGAGTCATAAATGCCTTCATGGTAAGTGAGGGTCTTTCCCCTTTGCTAAGTGAGAAGACTGCAAAAAGGGATTTAGCCTAGCAGTTAAGGTACTGCCTCTGGAGTCAACCTGGGCCTGTGTTGAAGCTCCACCACAACATACTTTGTGATCTTACACAGGTTCTTTCACCTCCATAAGCCTTTGTTTCCTCAGCTCTAAAATGGGAATACTACCAAATCCTACCTCAAAGGGTAATATACCTATAAAGCACTTTTAAGTAGAACAGGATCAGAGCTCAGCTACTGATCATGGTAAATTTAAATAATTTTCTTTGTTTTTCATTCTCTCCTATTGCCCCCAAATGCACTCTGGATGCAAAGATCACTTTCCTGCAACTACATAAACACATTTCCTAAGTTGTGTATGTATGTGTAGGAGGTTAAATTTAAAAGTATTGTACTAGGGTTCCAGGTCATACGTGACCAGATTTAGCCCAAACAAAACATATTTAAACATGTCTCTGCAATCAATAGATGGCTGCAAATGTATCTTAGTCTCATTAGGTGCCTCCAAAAAAAAAGGAGGGATCTAGTAAAAAGTGGCTTGTGAGGGTACCTGCTGGGCCAGTTAGATTCAAGGCCAGCTCGGAAAGTCAGGAAGATTTTTTTTTAATTCTCAATGGATAACCTTGATATATTTTCTCAAAGGATATAGGATAATTAAGGGGGTTGATATAAAGTTCTAAGAAAACTAGAAAGTGGATTAATGAGAAAAGGGTCAGTAAAGTCTTAAAGGAATTTTTTTCCATCAGAACAATGCACCTGCTTATTCACTGAAGGCAGCAAGAGCTGTCCTGTGAGAATTTTGTTGGGAAACCTTACCCCATTCCACCCTACAGCCCTGATCTTGTTCCTTCAGGTTTCTTTCTATTCTCCAAACCCAGAGAACATTTAAAAGCAGCATAATTTGAGTTCCTTGAAGATTCCAAAACTTACCATTTTGACATGGTATAAATAGAAGAGTATAGAATTCTTTTTTTGGTGGGGAGGGGTTAGGAAATGGAAATACTGCCTTCAGAAGTGTATAATCTGAGATGCCACATGGATATGCCAAGGAGCAATAGCTTTACATTTTGATAATTTTGTTAATAAATGCTTTTTCACTTACCCTAAAATGACCTATTGGCCTGAACTAATTAATGTTAATCCTGAACATCAAGCTACAAATCCCTAATGTTCATTTTACCACTGTCAGTTCAACAAGTGAGGACAACAGTATTGAGGCCAAGAGTGGAAAGCTCTTATGTGTAGCGAAATCTAGAGAGTAAGGAGACAGTGTTTCCATAAAAAGAAGTCTTACCCAAGACCAGGGAACTAGAACCCTAAGGAAACGAGCAAGCTTGTGTCCTAGAGCTAAAAGCAAGCAGGCCATTCGCCTTTCCCCAGTGCATCAATCTAAAATTTCTAGAGCACCAAGGGTAGAAATGCTTTTTCCTTTTCCTCCCTCAAAGAGAACGAAGTTTGATCCAGTGTTTTAGGGGCCCTTTTTAAGCGTTACACTTTTTAATTAGTCTGTAGTAGGACATTGAGATATTCCCCAAACTAAGAACCAGACCTATTTGTCTTTGATACCCTCATACTTCACAGTATCTCCTTTGCTCGGGGATGATTCCACTTAAACTAGCTGTACGCTACTATCCTCTAACTCCCAATAAAAACTTTCCATTCCTTAATGCGCACACTTTAACTTATACTAAAGTGTGAATGACTACCTATATTTTTCTAGGAGCTTATTAATGCAGAAGTACAGGGGGCTTATTTTTGGAGAGGAACTCTTTCCTGTTGGTCTTCAAACTGCACTGATTTTTTTTCTCTCCCCATCACATATAAGCTGACCATGAGATGTAGAGAGAAAGGAGTCTTTATTGTGTACTTCCTTTTGCTTTACCCAGCCCTAGTACTTTGATTCCCAAGACAGATCCCATACAGTGTTTATCTCGTGGTTGCTCCCAATACTAAAACTATCACTAGGAAAGCCAGTTCCCAAAGCATTAGAGACACTGCCTTTAGAGAAGAAAGACTGGCCAGCCAAACCTCTCTGGAGTTTTAGAAGGATTTTGTACTTGTGAACTCCCAAGTCCAATTTCCTCTCTGCTTTTCTCTAACATTCCCAATCATGTGGTTTAACTTCTTAAAACTTAAAAAAGCAAACAAAAAACAAAGAAGGAAGATGGGTTAGTCAACGCCACCAAGTATAGTAGTTAAATAAGAGGCAAGATTAGTTGTAAAACAGAAATGCAAGATGTGAAGAAAAAAAAAAAAGACTGGAAGGGTTGAGCTCAAATTAAAGACAAAGAGGCTTGAGGAAGGGAAATGAGGAAAGATCACTCTCACAATGGCATTTCATAGCAACTGTTGTGCTATGTTAAACTAAAGCAAATGTTATTTCCTTCAGAGAAGAGAGGAGAGCCAAGACACTTGTAAGGGTCACTGAGATTCTCAGCAGAAAAATCACCACTGCTAAACCTCCGGTATATGACAAGTGTCACCCTTTCCCTGTGGCGAAGGAATCAGTCTGCCGTAACCAAGTCTGCAATCTGTGCCGATCTTTATGGCGGATTGAGCTATTATTTTTTTCAGAAAAATCAAGGGACAATTGCCCGGCATCCAAAGAAAATCTGACTCCTGGGAGGAGAACGGAAACTCTGATGCCTGAGAGGAGAAAGCTGCTTTTGCCATAGGACTATTCTCTCTGGAATAACATACATGGCTCTTCGAGAGACCATGTCTTTGATAAGCAGAGCTGCAACCCTGACAGCCAATCTGCTGAATGCCAAACAGAGCCCTCAGCTTTCCACGGCGACTCAGAGGACACGGCAAAGGCTGCAGATTTATTCTGCTAACTTTCCCTGCAGAGACACTCAAGTTTTTCAAAGGCAAAAAGGAAGAACTCTTTCCTTCCAACCCAGGGAATTTTAAATTTCACCTGGGATCTAAAGACAGGCTATGTTTGCTCAAAATCTGACATCATCTATGTGAACAACAAGATTTAAAAGCTGGAATGATGGCTGGCAATTTCCTTCTTCAGAGCAGAAGTTGATTCAGCTCTTCAATCTGCCAGCAGAACCAACAGTCACGCAGGGCACATGGTGTGCCAGACTGGGAATGGGCTAATTTCACAAAATTCATTCTCATTCTCTCTGTATTTCCACATGACAATTGCAAATAGTCCAGATTCTTACCAAATACAGCCTTAGGTAGTGTATTTCATTGCCCAAAGAAATTTCAAAGAAAAAACAAAGGCACTGTTATAAAGAGATAAGCCCCCAAAGCTTCCATCTTTTCTTCATGATCCCCTCAAATGCTTTCCTCCTAAAAATCCAATCTGTAACACAGCATTTTTTATGTGTGAGAAATTTTAAAAAGCAAATCTCTCTACAATAAACTATTACATTTCTCCATCATAATAGATATGCCATCTCTTCAAGATGAGATTTTGAAAGATACAAGCTTTGTACACATTCTAATTCCAAGCAAAAGTCCTGTGCTGTGATTTAAAGGATAGTCCATTTGGGGTTAGACAGATTTCAATTCTCAATAACAACCAAAAAGACAACTAGGCTTGAGATCACATTAAGATACCCAATTTCTGTTTATATAATATTTTTGGCAATCTTATGGTAAGCAAAGCAAAGCAGACAAAAACCTCACTACACTTTAGAGGTAATCAGTTCAATTTTTATTTTTAAAACACATATTGTTGTACTGAGCAGAGGAGGCCCTGGGATAGGCAGCGAAGCGAGGGCAATAGTAACAGCAAAAGAGCACACAACATCTGAAACAGAAAACAGAAACGTGATTGTGGTGATTTTCTTCTCCAAACACACACACAAGCTTTCCACAAAAATTAATGGCAAGAAGACAAAAATAAAAGCTGTTCTGTCTTACAAATAATATTGGTAAACACTGTAATTCTCACATTTGTAGACACCATCAAAGCGGGAAATTTAGCTAGGTGCCATACCAACACTGGCAACTGCGACCCTCTCCAAGGGTGTGCCGTTGGTTCTAGAGCCGCACGACCAAACCCTGGCTTTAACCAAAAGCGCTAGTTGAAGGGGCTTTTCTTGTTACACAAAGTCCAATTTAAAAGGGGCCTGCTGTTTTATTTAACTCCCTGGCATATGGTGGGAAAGCTTCCGTTTGCCCAGTCACAGTGCTTGGAGCAGAATGCTGACGTCCTCTTTCTTTTCAGAAAGAGCTTCCATACAGTATCTCACGCACCTTGTTCATATCACACAATTTATCGGTATTTCTTTTCCTTTCTAAATGGCCTGGAGGGAAGGCGAGCTCCACAGACACCATGTGTGGTTAGTAATGGCGCTTTTACTTGTCATTGTACAAAGCCTGTTAAATATTTACAACACAGACTGCAATATCTAGTCCTAAACACCCAGTTGTGAGCTTGAATTTTTTTAGAAATAAATCTATGACAAGTTTTCCCCAGCAAAATGCCAGAAGACTTTACTAACAGCTTCAAGAGACCCAGCAGGTCCAGAGGAGCAGTTATAGGCCATCTGGTGATTACTTATTATTATTTATACAGCGCTGTAGATGTACACACAGATGTGTTATGAATCCACACACGGAGCAGACCCTAACGAGGGCGACTGCTGAGCAAGTCAATCTGCATTCAAGAAACACGCTACCCAGAGAGAGGAAGCATACTGGCTGTTTTTAATCTGATGCATTACCTAGAAGATTATTTGCTCAAACAACGAAGAATTCTATCTAATGATGACAGCATCTTATAAGTCAACCCCCTAGCTGATTCGTGGATTTGCAAGGGTAGTAAAAGAAAGATTAACGAAGGGTAGGTTCTCAAGCAGTTCATAAAAGAATTAGAAAAGAACCCTTATTCTGATTTAAGAAGAACTGGAATAAGAGATCTTATTTTATTTTTTCTACCAGAAAAGCACTGAGAACAGTTTCTGGGCTTCCATTCCAAATAGCAATTTGTACCCAAAGGAAACAAGAGTGAATAACTGAAAAATTTCACCTTAGTTTCCTGAGTTTAACTGTAACTCCAATTTGGTTATACAGGGCCTTTGTTTTGTTTTGCTTTTTGCCAACTGTAGTATGGACACTTTTAATCTACTATGTTATAAGCAGCATAATAAATCTATCATGCAAAACAAAAATTACCAGCCATATATGTCAAAGGGCAAATGTCAGGAGCATTAGATCAGGTGCTTAAAAAATTGGATTTGAAGCCTGCTTTTAACAACTTTACATTAAAAATAATAATAAATCCCACTCCCAATTTTGCTATACACTACAAAACAATGGTCTGCTTCCGTCACAGGGTGACAAGAAACTACAGCATACTCAGAGTGGACAGAAATTTACTGCAAAATCAATGTATTATTACAACAAATAAGGTTAGCATTTGTCCTAATTGTGTATAATGCAGTGTATTTTCAGCTGCCTGACAGCATGCAGGCAGTCTTACCAGATGGGAACTGAATGCATTATTGAATGAAATATGAATTATTTACTAAAAATTTGAATTTTTTTAAACTCTTGGCAGGGGATGAAGAAGGAAGGCTTATTTGTCTTCCCGAAATTACCCTCACCTGTCGAAACATGTAAACATAATATATACCACCACAAATGGCATTTACCTACCACAGACATTTCTTCCTCTTGTTATTCTCCAATTCAAGATGCTCCCCTAACATAAAGTAATCATAACCAATTCATTCTTCCTTGCTTTTCTTTTGTGATCATGCCAGGTAATAGGGAAACTTGCCAAAGGGCTAGAATTAAAGATCTAGCATCCCATAACACCAGTATGGTCCATTTAATGGGAGGGTTGGGATAACAGGAATAAGTTCTGTAGATCTGTGTTATATAGGCAATAAAACATATACCTTTGTAGCATGCCAGCATTTAACCAATCATAGGAGCTATTTGTTGCCTCATATATTACAAAGCAATAGAGATTTAAGGGATAATGTTCATGAAGGCAGAGGATACAAAGCAATAAACAGCTTTGGAGGTTGGTTAAATGCCAAGTGAAGCCAGGACTACAGCACCATAAACATTATTCCTATTATATGACAAGATAAGAAGGTACAAGGAGCTGCCCTCAATCCTACCACAGCTAGGGCACTATCGCTATTCTTGGTCATAGAAAGGGAAAACGAGCCCAGAGGTCTCTGAGCTGGTTATGTTTCATGCTGCTGCAAAAAAGATACAACCAGAACTTTAACCTGGGCCTCACTGTCCTCTGAGAGAAGAGATCTGATAGTAAATATCCTCAGGGATGGGGTGGGGGGTGGCACAGAGTAACAGCATCTCAGGATTAGACAGGACAGAGCAACACTCAGAAGATGATTTCTTAAAAGGACACAAAGTTGATGTTGAGTGGCTAAAGAAAAACTTGTCTCAATGGTTAATAATAGGATGATACTGCCCATTAGTATCTCTGCAGAAGAAACGTGTTTTTGTTTTTAAGGAAACAGATAGTCTTAAAACTCTGACCAAAGGTTTGATTATGATTAGAAGAGCTACTTAAATCTGCATAATTTGGATGATAAACTAGTGTCATGTGACAAAGGGATAGGTGCTTGCTGATTCATGGTTGGGTAAGCATAAGAAATGCTAACCACAAGGTTAGTCTGAGGGAAGGATGGTTTGTTTCTGTAATGACTTACAGCCTTGGAAACCCCTATATATGGCCTTTATGAGTCAGGATCAATTCAATGGCAGTGGTAAAAATTGGTAAAAACTTCCAAAAGGTAGTTACCTAATAGTAACTCAAAAACCCATTGCCTGAGGGTGGGGGAGAAAAGGGAAAAAAGAGGAGCTGATACCCAGGGCTCAAGTAGAAAAAAATGTTTTGGAAATGATGATGGCAACATATGTACAAATGTGCTTGACACAAATGATGTATGGGCCGTGAGAAGAGCTGTAAGAACCCCCAATAAAATGATTTATTAAAATAAAAAATAAGATAAAACCCACTGCCATGGTCACCCCACGTGTTACACAGTAAGAACCGAACAACTTTATAGAAACCAGGCCTTTCTTTCATAGCACCACTGAATAGATCACTAACTTTTAGGTAAGCAGCCAATGGCTAACTGCTTGCTGGTACCATTCAGGGACCAAAATCTCCAAAAGATAAGTTATCTAAATGTATCCAAATGAAATGATACCTCAAATTCAAGAATACGGACAGAGGCATAGTAATTATTCTTCCTGCTTCCATAAATAATAAAACATTTTTTTTACCACCTAACATCATCAATCAAAGCATCCCCTAATGCTTTAAAAATTTAGATGACTTTCTGGATCCAGCACCAAATTATATTTCTATTATTTTGATAATAACACAATAGCAAAACAATTTTATAGTCACAATTTTTTAATTGATGTTATCCTATAAACATTCCAAAAATGCACACAATTCAAATTCAACCAGTCCTCTGCCAACATGGTATGTGGGGCATCATTTGCCTTAACAACAATAACCCATTCTCAAGAGGTAGCTCTATTAACTACTCCTGCTACATATTCCACAGAGAGGTTTTAGCAGGAATACCACTTTCCCCAAGTTCCTCTTCATGAGGGTGATGAAGCCTCAAGAGAAACAAAGTGTCTCAACAGGAGAACAGAAATGAGAGGGCTAGAGAGATGCTTTCACCTGTCTCTTCAGATAAGAATGCAGACAGCACAACTTCCAGCAGCCATCTTTTAAAAAAGCACATGCATCATATTTAGAACTCAGCTGTGTCACGTCAGACTTACTGTTGGGAAGTGGATCGTGAACAGACTCCAAAAATAACACTCATTAAAGACCTAGCAACCAAAACATGTTTATGTATCCATTGAAAGCCCGGTGGTTTTGATTATATGGTAGAGTGCATAATACACTCGTCTATTTTAGGTGAATTTTCCTTTCACCTTTCCTTAATATTAAGACTTACGATTTAAGGGCAAAACTTGGGCATGGAACGGATATTGAAATAATGCAAGAGTCCTGTTGTTTTATTATTATTATTTTAAGTATTAGACTCAAAATTTGTTTTCATCCTTTCACCTCTTTTTTGGTAAAAAGCCACTCTTTGAGACTTCTATGGCAGTTGGTTTTAAACCATGTATATTATAAAAATTATGATGACTCTAAGTCCTCGTTCCTAGAACTTCCATTGGCTTTATTTATTTGCCATTTCTAAAACACAGAATTAGAATCAATGACAGTAACTCATTAATACCTTGAAGGTCTCAAAGGATATAAGGAAGTTGGATGACTGGCCAAAGGTGGTCAACTTTTCCAAATTTGTATTCTTTGCCAGATTTTCACCATTTCATACAATATACAGCAATCACAATGAATCTTGTTATGATCTCACTCAAGAGTTATTTGTTAACAGACATTGGGAGAAACCTGTAAGAAGTCTAGCTAACCACTCACCTATAATCTCACCTGACCATAACATTTTGACAGGTAAAAAAGAAAAGGGATGAATCACACTACTTTCAAAATCTCAAATTGTAGCTTTCTATCCTTTTCCTATGAAGCAAGTAAACTGATTCTAAAAGAGGAAGGAAGCAATCTCTGTTAAGTGTCACACTCACCTTCCCAGTGAGTTGAAAAAACCTCCAACACCTAAGCCAGATGTTTTAAGGAACCCTAGTTGTCAAAATACCAACAAGTAATTCAGAAATGGGAAGAAGCAAGGGAAGGAAGAGGCTTAAGGAAAACAGAGAACAGCAATACAGGAAGGAAGCAAATCAAAAATCCCTATTGTTTTCCCATTTCTAATCCATTAAATTTCCAAACGTTTTTGGCCTACTACACCCTTTCAGAAAAAAATTTACTCAAAGCTCCTCTGGCAATTAAAAACTTCTGTAGGGGATTCAATGGGTGGGGGGTGGGGAGTAAAGGGGAGCTGATTATCAAGGAATTCAGGGAGGAGGAGAATGCTCTGAAATTGATTGTGGTAGCAACTGTACAATACTGCTTGATGTGACTGAGCTATGGAACGATGTATGTATTAGCTCCCAATAAGATGGTTTTGAAACAACAACAAACACTTCTATAGGTTAGCCCATATTCCAGGATGAAGTATAGTAGGTACCTGTTTTTGCAGCTCATCTCCTGGATCATTCTAGAGCCCCCAGAGGGTGGTATCACCAGACTAGAGGGTGGTATCACCAGGCTGGGAAACACTGCTCCAGGCTAAATAAATACACAACAAAAACTCTTTCCGGATGTCAGAAATTCAAGTGAATACTACTCTTAAGAGATACTATTCCTATTTTTCTTCCTCAAAAAGTTTAAGAGAAACTTTTCTTGTGTATTGATATATTTTTATCATTCATTTTTATTTCTTTAATAAGTCTGTTTATGTGTTTTGTGGCATACAACATTAAAGAGGGGTATAAATTAAGCACATCTTGCATAACCCACGTGGGCTACATGCCTCTTGCCACTCAGTCTATTTGGACTCACAGTGACCCTCGAGAACAGTCTAGAAGTGCTCACAGGATCTCCAAAGCTGCAATCTTCACAAAAGCAGACTGCCACATTTCTTTCCTGTAGAGCAGTTCAAACCTCGAGTTTGGACTTCAGTTAGCAATCCAGAATTTAACCACTGTGAAGCCAGAGCTACTTGTAGGATACATAAGCATTTCAAAATAAATGTTTAACCAAAAAACTCAAATCCACTGCTATCAAGTCAATTCTGACTTCTGTCGAGCCACTGTCCGATGTGGTTTCCCAAGGCTGTAAATCTTTAGACAAACAGACTGCCACATCTTTCTCCCATGGAGTAGCTGGCAGGTTCCAATGTGAACCTTTTGGTCAGCAGCTGAGCACTTAACTGCTGTATCATCAGGACTCCTGTATATATAGAGGAAGGTTAAATCAATACTTTTTTCTGAACTTATTTCTAATTTATTTAGACAAATTCATTTCCGTAGGCAATAAGTGGATAAAAATAATTGTAAATGTAAGAAAAACAAACCTCTTTCCCCCAAATGCAGGCTTTTAAAGTACAAGTAGTCCTCCACTTATGATGGGGTTCCATTCTAATGATTCAGATTTAAGCTGGTTCTCACATAAATCAAACACTTCTTTTTCTTTCCTCGTTTTCATTATTATTGTCTTTAATTAGCAACATCTCTTTATAATCTGATCTTTACTTGTCTTCAGGACTTAAGATTATTACATATAAACCTATCACATATACTCGAGTATAAGCCGACCCAAATATCAGCCGAGGCACCTAATTTTACCACAAACACTGCCTAAAATGTGCTGAAAAACTCGGCTTATACACGAGTATATACAGTAGATATAATATATACATGCATATTACTAATGATCAAACTTTAAAACACCTCAAACTCGATCCTGACTCAGTGACTCTAGAGGACAGGGTAAAACTGTCTCTATGGGTTTCTGAGACTGTAACTTCCTATGAGTACAAAGCCTCATCTTTCTCTCATTGCTAATGATAAGACAGAGCAAACCAAACACAGTAGTCAGTACAGCTGTAACTTGAATAGGTGGTAAACCAGGGTCTACCTGTAAAAAACCAGGTGAAAAAATAACAGGTATCAGGTATAGGAGTTGCATGTTGTTATTATGCTGCTGTTTATTTTCACAGAAAACTACAGGAAGAGTAGAAGTGCCTGTAGGATTTTCTAGGTTGTAATCTTTACAAGATTGCCAGGTCTTTTTCTGATAGAGCTACTGGTGGGTTCGAACAGTCATCTTTCTGATTAGCAGCTGAGTGCTTCAATATTGCAGGACCCCTTATGTGTGTCATAGTTACTGCACTAAGTACATTCTGACTCACCGTTAACCCCACATGGGATTTCCAAAACTGTAAATCTACAGGAGAAGACCGCCTCATCTTTCTTTCTCCTAAGGAGTGCCTGATGGGTTTGAACCACCAACTCGCAGGTAACAACCCAATGCCTAATTATAGAAGTCATAGTAACATCATCAAAGTTGTATACAAAACTTTGAAAGGATCATGTTTAGATATTTGCTTCAATAAAGCTGTCTGAAAAGTGAAACAGATTTATCCTATTTTCCCAACTGACTTCTTTATAGAAAAAAAACAACAAAATATAAACCACATGGGACAAAAATGCGATCAATAATAAAGTAAAAAGTAAAAAGTCTTGACAAGAAAGAAAATATACTCTAGGATGCTGAATATTGCAGACTACAATGTTGATTTCTTTTTTCTTTTTCTTTTTTAGTCTTTTCTCAAATTTTCAGCCTTTACTGGAATTTGAAATCTCTCTCCTGCCCAGTCCTTGTCACCATCGACATCTCATCTACCTCTCAACTTCCAATTCCTTGGAATCTCTGGAATTTAGTTCCTCCTTTTTGTCTACATATTTGTAATGTTTCATACAACTCGTCTGCTATTTTACATACCACCAGTAAGTGTCACTGGATAGTCACATGACATGTTCCTAAATGAACAATAACTAAACCCTTCAGAGTCTATACTATAAATTAACTAAGATATATAAGATTTTATTTGCTTTTTTTTCCTTTGTATTTTATTCGGCATCTTTTTGTGGAACATGAGAGTAGGGGAGAGTCTAGGAAGAATAATTAAGGTACAAAATAAGGAGAAAATGGGGGGCAGTTTCAATAAAATTATTTTATTAAATAAAGAATGATGAAAATATCAGACATACAACATACATGTATACAAACAAGTAGATGGCAGTTGACACATACAGAACGATGCATTACACAGAGTCAGGCAGGGAAAATGGCTAAGAAAGGTCAATGGTTATATCTATATTGGATTTGTCTTTCCTAATTTTCTAGATCAACACTCAAAAGAAACCAAACAAAACAAAAAATGTCATCAGTTTTTCTTATTTTAAAAGATCCATATAGACTCTGGCAAATCAGGATTCACAATGAAGAGGTGTATTTTCAAATGCCTCTCCAAATGTGCTAAGCACGCTTTTTTATCTATAGGAAGAGTGAGAAAATAATTCCAAACTTGCATTGTATTTAATGGACAGTATTAGAAAGGAGAGGAGAGCAACACGTATTCCTTAGCACTGTGTACTAGGAAAACAAACACCAGTAGAATAACAATATGGAAGAGAGCAAGGCAGATTTCATTACGGTAGAGTGCCTACACTTCCTCATAACTTGGATTTACACACTGCAAATCCTCTGATCTGATTACCTCCAGTGATCACGTAAAATACCGGCTTTAAACTCTTTGCCTCAGTGATAAAACAGCCACTTTGATTCACAACGAGACATTCACAATAAAGTATATTGTAAACGTACCTGTCCACAGCCTGGGGCATTGCACACAAACGGTCTGTCGTCTCCCATATTTCATACAGCAGTGCGGAGCTGAGGAGGGGGAGATGGGGGGGTGGAAAGTTATGTTAAATACGCTAGAGCCAAAAAAAAAAAATGCTTCAAAAATATCAAGCCCAGAAACAGGTGTCCCAAGAATGCCATTTATCAAAGCTGTAAACACAGGCTACTTTGGGGAGACCCATTAGACAGGTGGCATATGATCTACTGTGCCTCAATTGAAAATTTTAATTAGAAAAATTTAGGCTTAAATATTCAAGGAATTTTAAACCTTTTGCTAGCCTTTTTGTTTTAGGCTACAGTATATAGCACCCTTCTCCAGTGTGCTGAATTACAACCAGTGCAGTACCCCGTGTCAATAAATCCACTGAACGCTCGATGCGGAAGCCATATTTTTAAACTAGAGAAGACCAAAATTTGTCATTTAATTAATTAAGGGATTATAGGAGGGGTGCTCCATTTTACAAGGCCATAATCTGGCTCCCTGGTGTATAAACTACGAGCTTGTTGGCAAGAGCCGTTTATCCCAGATTATTGCCAAAGAAAACAAAGCACCCATCCTATTGGGCTACATGGGAAATGATTTTCATTAATAAAAAAATAAAAATAAAAACCTTCTCTCCCCAGTGGGAGCCTCCTTCTCCCCCGACCAATCGTCTGTGGCAAATGGAGAAATATCGGTGCCCTTCCCCCTCTGATTCTATTTATGGCTAGGTTTTTAAAAGCAGCAATAAAACAAATGTCGACTCTTTGGGGGTTTACTGGGTGAATATGTTCCGGCTGTTTGTGCTGCTCTCACCCAGAGATCTTGGGCGGCTCTGATGCAGCCAACAGATGTGTGCTGCTGCGGGGCAGAAAAGAAATGACACTAAAAGGCATCACCACCCATCCCCTCTATTTCGATGAAGAATTTAACAGGGTTTCTACTGTTTGTTTAATTATTAAAGTTCAGCTCTTGAAACGTTGATTGAAATGATCTGTCAAAAGCAGTAAGCCTAATCCAAGTGTGTCACAGAGATTTCTCATAAACCATACCCCAACTAAGAATAAAAACAGAGATGGAGATGGGCAAGAATAAGAAATGCAAATGAGAGCAAAGATATTCCGAAGTCACAAACAGTATTTTAGAAGTGTGGGAGAGAAAAGGAGAGGGTAAGAGGAAAACAGCCTTTAGAATATAAACTCTTAAAAAGCATTTTCAAAGATCTTTTCGCAAGAGAAAAGGTTTATGATATATGAAAAATGGGACGATAAGAGAGGAAAAATACTGTTAACCGAATTTCAAATTTTTATTTTAGAAATAGACCAAAATATCAAGTTAACCTCAGTCAGACCTGTGCTAAAAAAAAAAAAAATTACAGTGCTAGACTGAATCTGGTAATTGGAAAACCAGGCTTAAAACCCTGAGGGTGGTTAGGTAACATCTTTCCTACTCTCTCAAGACTCACTCTGGGGTTGAAAATCAGTATTTCTAGTTGTCTGATCAGTAATTCTACAACTAATCGGTGTTTAAAATTGTGGGTGTCCCATAAAATAGAAAGGACTTTTTGGTCATCTTTCAGTGTGATAGGAACAGGGTCTAACTACGAAGAAAACTGATGTTGCAACATTGCTGTAATGGAAGCGAGTCTGTATATACATCCGGTGTACACAGATTTATATCACATTTAGCCAAGATAAATTGTTTCAATAAATTCTGCTCCTAGGAGAGAATAGCTCAAGCTGATGATTGGGTACTGGGAAAATGAGAGCTTCATTCTTCTTCACACAGCCTCAGGACAAGGGGGCTTTCTGTTTGTTTTAAATACATGATGATTTTTTTAGCACTTTCTGGAGCCACAGCATAACACAGAAAAATAAATACAAATAAATAAAAGAGATGAAGGCCATTATGACTAAAAACTCTGAGCATTTTCAGAAAGCAGTCGTCTCTGGAAAAATTCCTAATGACTGCTGTGCTGGAGATAATTTCACTTCCTAGTCCCAGAACCTGCTTTCCAAATATCACCATGAAATGAGAATTTTATTTCAACCAGGTCCTCTAACATATTTCAACCAAGAAGTAAACTATAAGGGCTAGAGCAGAAACCAAGCAGGGTTTCTTACCTTTTATCTTGGTTCTAGGATTCGGGGCTCTTAGGGGAAGAAAAGAATACTGAGAAATGGTGTTGTGCTGTGATAGAAGGTGGTTCAATACATTCTGGAATAGCTTCCTTCCAACCACAAAATTAAAAATTTAACTTGACTTTGCACAATCACATCACAAAGTATCACTTTCACATATTATTAAATTATATCCTTACTAGGAAATGGACATGAAAACTCACGATTTTCTGAAAGCCAAAACAAAAACCTCAAAGACAAGAACAACACAAAAACTGGAGGGGGGCATCGAAAGGTAACAAAAGTAAGCATTTTCATTCTCTTGAATATTCAAATCTGACTTTCCTTCTCACTGACTAGGATTTCCCGCTTCCTTTTATGTGTTGGTTTTTGTCTTGTCATTTTCACCAAAGGGAGCTCACAATGGGTGAAAGAAAGCCTTCTTTCTCAAACACCCACAATTATGCTTTTTCTTTTTGAAGATCATTTATTTTATTGGGGGCTCTTAAAACTCTTGTTACAATCCATACATCAATTATATCCAACATATTAGTACATATATTGCCATCGTTCTTTTCTAGACGTTTAGTTTCTATTAAGCCCTTGGGATCAGCTGCCCCCACCCCAATTATTTTTAAACCATTCCCTCAGTCTTGTGTCCCACATAATTTCCCTAAGTCTTGTCTTATTAAAAAAAATTCACTTTCTAATTAAATATCAGTGATGTTAATTTTTTAAAGTATTTAACAATGATGATGACCAATGTTCCCATAAAAAGAAAAAATCCAGCTAACATCTCTTTTAAAAAATTTCCAAGCTGCTGTCATCAATTGCTACAGAAAAAGGATGCTATTGCTAATTTCTACATATTAAAATAAGCCTCTAACTGTAAGAGATCAAAGTGATGCCATCTCAAAAACAAAATCAACACATTTCTGTGGTATAGCAGACTGAAGCAAGAAGTGAAATCATCTTGAATAATGATGTTGCTATTCACTTGAACGGAACTCACAGTGCATCTGTAACTGTACTACCTGACTAGCAAGCCCTGTGTCTGGGCATGGCACTCAGTCTGTCCTCTGCTTCTGGATCTATTCTGAAGGATGACACTCAACTACTCTATACAACTGAACAATGACAGGAGGGGAAACACACATTGAGAGGCATTGCCAAGGGGAAGAAAGATGCTTTCAGGTTGGATCTTAGAAGCTGAAAGGAAAACTAGAATGTATACAAAGACTATACTAGAGGCCAAGGTCTACAAAATAAAATATTCATGTGGTCAAAATCATTGTAATGCACAAATATTACCAATTATCATTTTCTCAAAAGAAAGAAAATCGGTAACTAAGATAATTTCACAAGATTTATGCCAATTTTGTCAGCATGAGAGCTAGATTCTAAAATAGTCATGTACAAATGTGTAAGAAAGAAAATAGAATACACACTATCTCTCATATGAGTTGCTGCTGAGTTGATTGACTCATAGTAATCCTGTATGCACACTGCAGAATTGTCCCATAGGGTTTTCAAGGCTATAAACCTTTAGAAACAGGTCGCCAGGCCTATCTTCTGAGGTGCTTCTGAGTAAGTTTAAACCACCAACCTTTCAGCTAAAGGTTGTGTGCTTAATAATTTGCACCATCAATAATTCTCTGTATATAATATAGATTTAATTTTTTTTTAAAAAGGAACTATAGTAGAATTAGTCCCTGAGCTTTGCAAAATCAATTCTCTGAACCTGGCTGTGATGCTTTTTCTTGCAACCAACTAATATTACTAAATAAGAAGGCCCAGCCTTAAGTAAGGAATAATAGCCATGTACAAACACACTCAGGAATGCGTCCTAGGTGGCTAATGACAAAAAGCAGATATTGCTGTGTATAAAAAGTAAACCAAATTCATCACCATCAAGTTAATGCCGACTCACAGGGACCATACAACTGCCCCAGTGGGTTTCCAACACTGTAACTCTTTATGGGAGTGGAAAGGGTATAAGCATCTAAGTATCAAAGATCCATAAAAACCAGGAAAAAGCTTAAATTAATAGTTATTCATTTATTCCATTCACAAAACATTGCTAAAAAACTACTAAGTACCATGCAAAAATAAAGCAAAAAATAAAGCAAAAAAAAAAAAAAGACATAATCCGGTGTTATCTATACATTTTAAAAATAGTCTTACAAAAAAAGAATCACCCACTTTTCTGATGTGAAAGAAACAACATAAATGGTAAGAATGATAGTTTAATTCACAAGCTCAATTAGTGAGATTGAGCCTATTATTTAGATTTATTGGTATTACTCCTACTGTTTATTACTGTCTATCAAATTACTTTGCTAGCAACCCAGGGTTAGATAAGAGCACAAAAGAGAGATCTTGATAAAAGATTGTTTGAAATTAATAACCAAAAGTTACTTTTTGGATCATATGCATTGTCAGTTTTTAAACTCATTAATTCACAACACCTACTACATGTTCTCGGTCCCAGGAATGAAACTGATAAGTTTTCTGCCCTCATAGGGCTTACTCACTTTGCAAAATGAATAGACAAACAAAATAATTTTAGACTTAGAGCATATGGTTGGAGCCCTGGTGGCATCAGTGGTTTGAAACCACCAGCTGCTCGGCAAGAGAAAGATGAAGCTGTCTACTCCTGTGAACAGATAGTCTCAGAAACCGAAAGACGCAGTTCTACCCTGTCCTACAGGGGCGCCATGAGTCCGCATCACTGGACGGCAGTGAGTTTGGTCTGGTGTTTACAGAGAGGCCTGTTTGAGTTTTATGAGTGAAAAGGAAGTGGCTATAACTGGTTATGAACGAAAGTAGAGTGGGGTAGAACATAGCAACCTAGGCTCACATCTAGGTGGCACACTTGGCGGCTACAGATCACAGCCTTGGAAACTGTATGGGGTGATTCAACTCTGTGC